TATCTCTATTTTGAAGGATAACCAATTTAATTTTTTCTAATCCTACACATTATTTCTTAAATAACTCCTCAGCCAGTATCTAATTACAAAAGTGACAATCATTTCTGACTATTAACTAAACAGTTCTATTTATTACTCCATTACATGTAGTTTGTTTTAATGAAACCTATCAGAGCAGAAATTAACTATTTGAATGACATCACTGCTAACTAAGCATAATAAAGGAAATTTTATCTTTAATGTGAGGTTGCAGCTACAAGTCTCTTTGTATCTCATCTCCTACAAGAATTAGAGTAAAAGCAATTATTCAATTTGTTTGCAGTATTAGTGACCATTTTTCTTTTATAAAGAAATTACAAGTCCTACTCCTGCTGCTTTCATCTGCTTTCACCAAAGACAAACTACACACTTCAAAGACTATTACAGTCATTCAGTGGAAGTATGGATGTTTAAAGTAATGACAGTAGTTTAAATCTTTTGACTCTTACAATCCTAAAAGGAAGAGAACACGGAATTAAACTGAGGTTAACTCCCCAATATTCTAGAACAGGGGTGGGGATCCTGCGGCCTGGAGGCCACATGTGGCTTTCTAGGTCCTCAAGTGTGGCCCTTTGATTGAATCCAAACTTTACAATTCTTTGAAGTTTGGATTCAGTCAGAGGGCCACACTTGACAACCTAAAGGGCCACATGTGGCCTCCAGGCTGCCACAACCCCTTCCCAACCCTATTCTGGAATACGGGGTTTAGATTCACCTTGACCTACTTCCTTTCAGCATGATTCACAATCATGATGAATGTAATTCAGAGTGACTTGTTTATACATTCTGCATGACTACTTCAAGGTAATTAGTCACCCACAATGACAGAAAACTATGAAGTCACTGCTGCAAATTATAAATGGATCATATTCACTGGTCAGATTCAAAAATGAGCTTAAATTTTAACATAAACTAAATTCAGGCTGTATATAATCTGAATGCTTCAAAGAGCCATCAAAACATTCAATTGTACTGTAAGGTATAGACGATAAATCCTACTTCCCATCACTGAAAATGTGACTCCAAAGACTGACCTTCCTGTATATCTTTAAGATTAAAAATCAACAAAGTGTTGAAGAATTATCAGAAACTACAGAAGTTTGACCTTAATGTTTTTAGCTTACTCAAAAAAAATTGAAATAAAGACTAAAAGGTAAAATTTTGCTCATATAACTTGCTCAATAGAAAAACTAAACAAAAGCTAACAGGATTTATTTTCCCTTGAGAAAACCTGAAAAGTACATTAACAAAATCTACCACAGAGAAAAAATTCAGGAGAATGACATAAGTAATATCCAATTTGATGATGGAGAACTAGAAAGTGACCTCCTAATTATATATGGATATAGTTACTGCACCATCATCATTTTTTTTATTATTAATTTATTTTGACTTATCAATAATCACTTCCATATGCTTTTGAGTTTAAAATTTTTCTCCTCCTTCCCACCACCCTCCCCAAGATGGCGCACAATCTGATATAGGCTATACATTTACATTCATATTAAACATTTTCACATTAGTGATGTTGTAAGTAAAAATTAAAACCAATAGGAAGAAACATCAGAAAGAGGAAATAAAACTCAACAGAAGAGAAAATAAATAGCAATTCAACTTCATAGTTCTTTCTTTGGATATGGATAGCATTTTCCATCACAAGGCCTCTGGAGATGTCTTAGATCCTTGTATTGCCAGGAAGGATTAAGTTTATCAATATCAGTCATCACACAACATGGCTGTTATTGTGTACAATGTTCTCTTGGTTCTGCCCACTTCACTCAGCATCAGACCATACAAGTCTTTCCAGGTTTTTCTGAAGTCAGCCTGTTCATCATTTCTTATAGCACAATAGTACTCCGTCACATTCATATACCACAACTTGCTCAGCCATTCCCCAACTGATGGGCATCCTCTCAATTTCCCATTCTTTGCCATCACAAAAACAGCTGCTGTGAATATTTTTGTACATGTAGGTCCTTTTCCTGTTTGTGTGATGTCTTTGGGATATAGCTCTAGAAGTGCTATTGCTGGGTCAAAGGGTATGCACATTTTTATAGCCCTTTGGGCATAGTTCTAAATTGCTCTCCAAAATGGTTGGATCATTTCACAACTCCACCAACAATGCATTAATGTTCCAATTTTCCCACATCTTCTCCAACATTTATCATTTTCCTATTTTGTCATGTTGGTCATTCTGATAGGTGTAATGTGGTATCTCAGAGTTGTTTTGATTTGCATTTCTCTAATCAATAGTGATTTAGAGTATTTTTTGACTGTGACTATAGATGGCTTTAATTTCTTCATCTGAGAACTGTCCATATCCTTTGACAATTTATCAATTGGGGAATGGCTTGTATTCTTATAAATTTGACTTAATTCTCTATATATTTTAGAAATGAGGCCCTTATCAGAGAGACTGGTTGTAAAAATTCTTTCCCAATTTTCTATCTTCCTTCTAATCTTAGTTGTATTGGCTTTGTTTGTGCAAAAACTTTTCAATTTAATGTAATCAAAATTATCTATTTTGCTTTTCATAATGTTGTCTATCTCCTGTTTGGTCATGAATTCTTCTGTTCTCCATAGATCTGACAGGTAAACTATTCCTTGCTCTCCCACTTTGCTTACAGTATCAGCCTTTATATCTAAATCATGAACCCATTTTGACTTTATTTTGGTATTCATCATTTCTTAAATATCATTTCTTGATGTATGAAATCCATCAACATAAAGATGAAAGTAGAAATTGTCTACTGATCATTAAATTTGTAAATTTAGTAAATCTACTGATCATAAAGTTTCCATACATGTCAAGATCACAGAAATTTTGCAACTATTACATTAATTCTTCAAATGATCAAATGTTAATACTATAGAATAGGAAGTACTAAAATTAGATAACCTCACTACAAGAGAATTAATGTTCTGTGAACTTAACGTTACTGCTTTACATAGAACAAAAACTACTTTTAAATCAGAAACTGGGAAACTGATCCAAAACTACTACTTGGATTCATCATAGTCCCAATGAGTATGTATCAAGAAGTACAACACTCACCTATTTATACAATACAGTTTTAAGTATTTTGTAGTAATATCCTAAAATGCCTGAGTAAAAGAAATATTATTCCATGGAAATTTCTCTTTTTCAGGCATGTCCCTCTGTTTTCTATGTGTTCATGTATTTTTCTATCAGTAGATCTATGCCTTTCTGAATTTCCATGTATCTATCTAAGAAATCATTTGCTATCAGAAAGCTGGGAAACAATTTTTACAGTGTCTCTGATAAAGGCCTCATTTCTCAAATTATATATAGAGAACTGAGTCAGATTTATAAGAATACAAGTCATTCTCCAACTGATAAATGGTTAAAGGATATGAACAGTTTACAGATGAAGAAATCAAAGCTATTTTCATATGAAGAAAATGCTCTAAATCACTATTGATTAGAGAAATGCAAATCAAAACAACTCTGAGGTAGCTCACACTTATCAGACTGGCTAATATGACAGAAAAGGAAAACGATAAATGTTGGAGAAGATGTGGGAAAATTGGGACCCTAATGGTGGAGCTGTGAACCGATCCAACCATTCAGGAGAGCAATTTGGAACTATGCCCAAAGGGCAATCAAACTGTGTATACCCTTTGATCCAGCAATACCACTACTAGGTCTGTGTCCCAAATAGATCATAAAAAAGGGAAAAGGACCCAGATGTACAAAAATATTTATAGCAGCTCTTTTTGTGGTAGCCAAGAATTGGAAATTGAGGGGATGGTCATCAATGGGGGAATGGCTGAACAAGAAAGTTGTGGTATATGAATGTAATGGAATACTATTGTGCTATAAGAAATGATGAGCAGGAGGATTTCAGAAAATCCTGCAATGACTTACATAAACTGATGCTGAGTAAAGTGAGTAGAACCAGGAGAACATTATACACAGTAATAGTAAAACTGTGCAATGACCAACCATGATTGACCTAGCTCTTCTCAGCAATACAACATTCCAAAACAATTCCAAAAGACTCATAATGGAAAATGCTATATCCACAACCAGAGAAAGAACTGATAGAATTTGATCAAAGCATACTATTTTCACTTTTTTTGTTTTTTGGGGGGTTTTTAGTGTTTTTTTTTCCTTTTGTTCTGTTTCTTCTTTGACAACATGACTAACATAGAAATAAGTTTTACATTACTGCACATGTATAACCTATATCAGACTGCTTGCTGTCTTGGGTAGGGGGAAGACGGAAAAATTTAGAACTCAAAATCTTTCCCAAAAAAATGAATGTTGAAAATTGTCTATACATGTATTTGGAAAAAAATAAAACACTATTAGAATGTAAAAAAAAAAAATCATTTGCTACACATTCTATCTGCCAACTTTCCTCTTTCTCTATTTCTTCCTATCTCTACCTAAAGTAAACAAAATATATAAAAATATATTTATTATCTTTAACATTTTTTGTATTGCCTGCTCTTAACTTAAAAACAGATTAGTGAAATATTTTATATATCTCTCTCTGCCGACTGTTTAAAATTTGTGGCCTTCTACTTTATATGTTTGTCCTTTTTTTCTCCTTATGGATTGGCAGAAAACATATTTCCCACATCCTTTTTCTATAGCAATGGATTTTTAGTATGAGAAGTTATCTCAAACTAGCATTCAGTCAGTCCTACCAGGTTGTAAACAAATCATTTCTTAATCAAAAAGACGTTTTCTCATCTTGGTGGACTGTGTACGCTGATACTTTATTTTTTCCATTTTAGCATGCTTTAATGCTGGTTTCCTCCAAAGACATGGAGGTAGCTAGAAAGAGGGCTAGGTATTTAAACAAAGTATTTGTCTTACAAGAGGACAGTACATCTCCACTGACATATAATCCAGGCAAGAAAATGTGAACTTTTCCAAATGTAAGTTGGGATAAGCCACAAATTATTTAGTGAAACAGAATTCATAGTACCTTCAAGGCTTGCTGTAGTATCTGTGTATCATTGATGCCTGTGATTTCTCTCAGCTGATTCAAAAATGTTTGCTGGTGCTAGAAAAGAAAAAGAGAGATGGTTCATTATTAAGGAGTTTTCTGAAAACTTCAATGACAACAAAATAAACAATGACTAAAAACATTCAAAATTTACTTTTATTCACTGCATTACTTTGTAAAAATATGGGGCATGTTCAAATTCTTTCCAAAGAATCCTGTATACTTTTATAGGTCACTAAATTCCCACTGACTTCAAAGAGAGGTCAATGAAATCAAGATGGCTCAAAGTTTAGTGTGGGAACCTAACAGAGTAGTGATATAACATAGAATCATTTTAATCTCTCTTAAACATCATATATATATGTGTGTGTGTGTGTGTGTATATATATATATATCTATATATCTATAGCTGGTGCCATAATTAAAGTAATATAAACTAAAATCCAAACAGGTTTGCTTATTTTAAAACACTACCACAGCTCAAGGCCCTTAAAACAACAACAAATTTCCAGTAGAATGGAATTAATATCAACCAATCATTTGAATGAACTATCCTATCCTATGTGCCCTTGACAAATTGGAAAGACAAAAATACTTATACTTATGGATATAAATTACTTTTCACTTAATGAAATATGTACTCCGATGTGAGGCTTAGTTTTGTGAAGAATAAAATTGACAGAACAATTGATAGGGCTGAGTTCAGTCATTAACAAAATCACCTAACCCTAAATCATAAGTATTTTCATATTAAAATATATCTGATGGCCTAGCCATTCCAGATCTTAAATTGTATTATAAAGCAGCAATCATCAAAACTATGTGGCACTGGCCAAGAAACAGAGTGGATCAGTGGAATAGGTTAGGAACACAAGACACAGTAGTCAATGACTATAATAATCTACTATTTGATAAACTCAAAGACCCTAGCTTCTGGGATAAGAACTCACTATTTGACAAAAATTGCTGGGAAAACTGGAAAAGAATGTGGCAGAAACTAGGCATAGACCAAAATCTCACACTATGTACCAAAATACAGTCAAAATGGGTTCATGATTTAGACATAAAGGCTGATACTATAAGCAAACTGGGAGAGCAAGGAATAGTTTACCTGTCAGATTTATGGAGAACTGAAGAAATCATGACAAAACAAGAGATAGACAACATTATGAAGTACAAAATGGTTAATTTTTATTACATTAAATTGAAAAGTTTTTGCACAAACAAAACCAATGCAACCAAGATTAGGAGGGAAGTAAAAAACTGGGAAAGAATTTTTATAACCAGTGTGTCTAATAAGAGACTTTTTCTAAAATATGTAGAGAATTAAGTCAAATTTATAAGAATACAAGTCATTCTCCAATTGATAAATGGTCTAAGGATATGCATAAGGAGTTCTCAGATGAAGAAATTAAAACCATCTATAGTCACAGTCAAAAAATACTCTAAATCACTATTGATTAGAGAAATGCAAATCAAAACAACTCTGAGCCACATCACACCTATCAGATTGGCCAACATGATGAAACAGAAAAATGATAAATGTTGGAGAAGATGTGGGAAAATTGGAACATTAATGCATTGTTGGTGGAGTTGTGAAATGATCCAACCATTATGGAGAGCATCTTGAAACTATGCCCAAAGATCTATAAAAATGCGCATATCCTTTGACCCAGCAATAGCACTTCTAGGGCTGTATTCCAAAGAGATCATAAAAATGGGAAAAGGACCCAGATGTACAAAAATATTTATAGCAGCTCTTCTTGTGGTGGCAAAGAATTGAAAATTGAGCAGATGCCCATTAATTGGGGAATGGCTGAACAAGCTGTGGTGTATGAATGCAATGGAGTACTATTGTGCTATAAGAAATGATGAGCAGACAGACTTCAGAAAAACCTGGAAAGACTTGTATGGACTAATGCTGAGTGAAGTGAGCAAAACCAGGAGAATCTTGTACACAGTAACAGCCATGTTGTGTGATGACTAACTTTGACAGACTTAGCCCTTCCCAGCAATGCAAGGATCTAAGACATCTCCAAAGATCTCATGATGGAAAATACTATCCACATCCAAAGAAAGAACTATGGAGTTTGAATGCAGATTGAAGCATACTATTTTTTTTTCCTTCTGTTGTGTTTTGTTTCCTCTTTCTTGTGGATCCTTCTATTGGTTCTAATTCTTCCTTACAACATGACTAATGTGAAAATATGTTTAATAGGAATGTATATGTATAGCCTATATCAGACTGAGTGCCATCTTGGTGGTAGGGAGGGAGGGGGAAAAAAATTTAAAACTCAAAAGCTTATGGAAATACTGATAAATATTTGATAAATCAAAATAAGTTAATTTTATATATATCTGAACATATCAGAATAATGAAAGAAAATGTAATTACTTGATTCTAATTGGCTTCAATTTAAAATCTTTAATAGAAAAACTAGCTCTTTCCACTTATCCTATGTATTTTTTAAAAATTCATTTGCTTATTAAGGTTCCACTGAAATTAAACAAGTATTGAAATGGTGGCCATTAATTAATTTTTAGTTTTAATGATATTCATGTTACGATATAGAGAATATTATAATCCAAGAATTATCTAAGAGTTGAAACAATGAACTAAGGTACAAATAAATTAATCTCTTTGCTTATACATTAGAGAAAGGAAAACGGGAAAAAAGAAGAGGAAAAAAAAGGATTGAGCCAGACAAAGTAAAATCAGGCGTGAACAATACTTGTGATTATTTGCACTCTAGGTAAACTGAAAAAGAAGCACATGCACCATGTGCTTTTATTCAGGCTCTCATACCAACTACTATAAATCACATGTTATCATGTAAAAATAATAAATTTTCAAGTTCTCCTTGCAAATACCTAAAAAAAAATTAGATCAATTTTCTTGAAACAGTGAAAAATAATAATGAAGGTATGACATGCTTCTTCACCTACTACAGTGATGCAGCACAAGAAATTTCAGTCATTTTCTTTCCTGCCTATCCTTACCCCTTAATAGCTTAACTTCTTAAATTTTAAAAAAATATTTTGAACATTGCAGTAATCGCAGTATACATTATATCTGTCTGTCAATGATATAAACAAAAACACAAAACTGTTTTTTGAGTTTAAAACATTAGTGGGGGAAAATACCTTCATAAAAGAGTATTTGAATAAATAACATACATTTTTGTTCAAAAAATAATAGCTAAAGCTTTTTTAAAAAACTAAATTATTGAACAGGCTACCACCTCTTCTTTTCCAGTGATAAATCATTTTTTTGATCAAGTTTTTCAGTGTTAATAAATTTAAAAATTCCTAAATGGAAGAAAGTAATCAAAGACAAAATCCCAAAGGCAAATAATAAAATCTCAAAAGACAAATAAATAAAGCCCCAATATGACTGAGAGTAAAGGTACTTTTTAAAGTAAAAGGAAGAAAGGTATTAAAGACTGTATTGTTGTGTCCATAAAAGGTTTATGTAATTTTAAATAAAATTTCTATTGACTTGACTGACGGAATTCTATTCTGTCACAAAATCACTGTTAGTCAAATCTGTGTCCCTGTCATTCAATCACACGACAGGAAAGGATGAAAAAAAACAACTTATAATCACTTTTTTTTTTCCTTTCCTCTCTGTTTTAGGGAGCAGTATGGTGAAATGTAAAGAATACAACTTTTAGTCAGAGATTGTTGTTGTTCAGTAGTATGTAACACTTTGTGCACTTGTGGATCATATTGTCCATAGGGTGTTCTTGGCAAAGATAACTGGAGTGGTTTGCCATTTCCTTCTCCAGATTAAGGCAAACAGAGGTTAAGTGGCTTTACCCAGGGTTATACAGCTAGTAAGTGTGTCTAAGGCCAGATTTGAACTTAGGTGTTCCTGATTCCAGACCTAGTCTCCAACCACTGAGTCATCTAGCTGCCCCATTTAATAAAAGGAACTGGGTTCAAATCCCAGCTCTACTTCTGACAGAGTAAGTCATTTAGCCCCTCTGGATCTCAGTTTTCTAAATCTAAGATGAGATGTTAAGTTAGATGTCTTCTAAGATCTCATCCAGTTCTAAGTCTACAAGCACATAAAAATCCATACACTTGTAATAATATTGTTTCCTTTTAAAAAAAAATTGCTAAGTCAATCAACAAGCATTTATTTATTGACTGCTACCTCTATGTTAGGGACACAAAGAAAGGCAAATGTTAGTCCCTTTCCTAAAGGAGCTTTTATGTATATATGTGTGTGTGTGTGTGTGTGTATATGTATGTGTGTGTATATATATATATATATATATTTTTTTTTTGGTGAGGCAATTGGGTCTAAGTGACTTGCCCACATAGCTAGTAAATGTCAAGTGTTTGGTCTGAGGCTGGATTTGAACTCAGGTCCTCCTGACTCCAGGGCCAGTGCTCTATCCACCGTGCCACCTAGCTGTCCCAAGGAACTTATATTCTAATGAGGGAAAACACACACACACACACACACACACACACACACACACACACACACACACACGTTATGTACATACATACAAGATATGCACAGAATAAAAGAAACATAACCTCAGAGGGAAGGCACTACTACTAGGGAGATCAGGAAAGGTTTGCTGTAAATGGTGGGATTTGAGTGAAGCCTTAAAAGAAAACCAGAAAGCAGAGGTAAGATGGGGAAATGGATTGTCACCAGCAAGGAACAGCAAGCAGCCCAGTGCAGCTGGATAGGAGAGTACCCAGAAGAGAGTGAAGTGTAAGGATTGCAAAGGTAAGAAGGGGCCAGGTTGTGAAGGGCTTTAAGTGCTTGAAGGAATAGGGAGCCACTGCAATTTAATGAATAGAAGTAACACAGTTAGCTTTGCCCTTTTAAAAAAAATCATTGTGGCAGATGTATGCATAAGATGGATTAGACTGGAGAAAAGATTTAAAACAGAGACAATGAAAATTGTTGGGTACTTTTTATCACCAGGTATCACTTGTAAATAATTACTCAGAGCAGCAGCCACACCCATAAACAAATAAGTATAAATATATGCATGCCAAAGGCCAAAATAAGTAATTTTTAAATTATTTAT